TGAGCTGTGAAGAAACAGAGCACCGCTACACCTTTTTCACTTGTGCCTATCAGATGAACGACAGCCACTGACAGACAAGAATAAAAGTGACCCGGGAAACTTGGGCAAAACCTCGATCCTGTGTATCGACCCGTGAATCCGTGAGGTTTTAGTGGAAATAATTTTGCAGAAATTTGTAACTGAAAAAAATTGCAGTTAAGGACGATGAAACTATCACCACTTGGGCATGTAACAGATAAAACAACGTTTTTGAGGCGAAACCGGTACCCGTCACAAGACTGGGACAACGTTTTGCTGTTGTTGAACTAGCTCGAGAAACATTGAGGGTGACGAACCATATTTTTTCCATGTACGTATGGAAAAGGGGTGCACCTTACTATATATGGCGGTTCGCATCAATGCTCTGAACATTTCCATTCCACATCCATGGCCCAAAAGTAGCTTTCGTCTTATTCGCCCTCGCGGCTTGCCTCTTCCGGTGGTCGCCCTTCACCTCTTCGAAACTGTCGAGCTGTTTTGCCGGCCTGACTTTCATCCCGACCGGAAATAATATCTGACAGCTGGAGCTATTTAATAAGTCATAAACCGTATTTATTTATGCTAGGTGGCCTATCACCCTGTCGATCCGGTGGAATGCACGAGGGGTAAGAGAGTCGTGTTGTGAGCGGATGCACCCAGCAGACAGGGCTGCCCTGTTACTTTGCACCGTGGTGTATTCGTAAACTCACCACCCTTCCAGTAGAACGAGTGCCTCGCTGATCACCGGTGATCCTGTGCTTATGCATTGCCCAGCCTGAACATACTGTGCGAGGCTCAATGCTAGTCGAATTGCAAGCAGTTGCCGCCCTCGTTCTGGTTGAGGTCGCACCACCCCAATTCCAGTTCTGCATCCAGACATAACACACACGTTCTTCCCTCGTGTGCTCTGAAGCGTTCATATAAAATTTATATTCCATATTACTGCCTGCCCACCAGCAGCCACAGCTAGCGTCTAACGTCTGTTTTCTTCATGTATCATCTGCTTCTTGGAGTTGACAGTAGTGATTCGGCTACCTGAGACCCACACTCTCACGTTACGGTCACGTTGACGTGGTAGATTTCAGTCAAGCTGTGGTTCTCTTCCATTATTTCAGAAGCTATTTCCAAACCGCTCATTATCTGTCTGCTGTACTTGTTTATAGTGCCCCTGTTTTGAACAACGGCGACCCTATGATTGGATTCTTTAGCTGAACTGCAAACGTAACCGCCCGTTCCAACTGGTTCAACGGCTAGCCTCCCTGCAAGCTGCCTCGGCGGCTTTATAGTGCCCCTGTTTTGAACAACGGCGGCCCTATGATTGGATTGTTTAGCTGAACTGCAAACGCAACCTCCCGTTCCAACTGGTTCAATGGCTAGCCTTCCTGCAAGCTGTCTCGGCGGTAAAGTCTCAACCTTCCCAATATTGAGCACATGCTCCGGCCCAGCTGGTATTTGGTTTTTAGGTCACCCAACAAACTTCACTATCTTCTGGGTTCGTTTAGCTTGCTGTCATCCCTTTTAAGATATTTTCTATTGGACACCGTTTTATCTGGTGCCCCCTGGAACTCACCAGAAGATACTGCCGTCATTCTGTTCCATTTTCATTGCACATTTTTCCAGGCTTCCAACTTCGGTTGTAGTTGCTCAAGCGCCATTTATTCAATCTGACTGCTCCTCGGGCTATTTGAACATTGTCCTCCAAATGAACGTAACTAATCCGTGACGCTGCATCGGTCTGATTCTAACTGTGTTAATCTTCTCGTCTAACCCAGATCCAGCTGCCACAGAAGTGCACATCCTTTGTCGATTGCGGCAATCTTAGTTCCGATTCACTCACAAGAGCATATATCCAGTTAGATTAAACAGGACTCTTCCATTTGAGTCCAGAAGGAAGGTTCTTTCAGGTGTCACAATATCAGGCAGTTAAGAATTCCAGTAGCTGGTCGGACGGGTGGCGTACACGAAGCGTCATCTAATCGTCCTAAACTTTCGGGCATCACAAAATTTCCGACACACTGGTCCACTTTGTTGGGGCGAGAAAAGTGGCGGATTCATGGAGGGATGATCGCCTGATGTGTGTTCATCCAGTGTTGAAAGCATAAATAAAGAACAGGATAAGCCGGAACCACATGCTCCACGTGGCTACCGTGCCAGGAAGCTGGCTGTCTGCGGATGTTTCGGGGTGTTATACTTTAGCACCAGCGACGATCCATTTTCTGTTAACGTAAGGCTACGAAGACAAAAAGGTGGTTGTGGGGTGTTCGCTTACGCTCTGATGGCAATCTATCGCAGCTTGAACAACACACATCCCTGGTGGGTGACACTGCTTTAGTAAAATCTCGAGCGGCTAAAAGGAGGCTTCGTCTTGCCTCTTTTGACTCAATCACGTTTGGTAAGGACATATTCCAACACAACTCGTAGACTTACTTGAAGTTTGGTTAAAACTGGGTTGATGCAACAAGTCACTAGGCTAAAAAGGACATTTCCGTTCCAACGTCTCTCAGTGCGACTAGTTTGTTACATACAGCGTATTGCACCTTTTTGTCTTGCCGGTTAAGATCCTGTATCGCGGCTTGCTCCCAAATGTCTTATTGGCGGATTACTTATTTGAAGCGGTTCCGAAAATAACAAAATGCCAGCTAGCCGTCTGTGTCATCTTAAGTTATCTTTTGGAAAATGGATGAAATATTTTTGGAAGACAAACATTACATCAGCCTTATAAAGTTGCAGGACAATAGTTCAGTATAACCATTACACTGGAGGTTGTCCAAGTTTAAATTGGTCAAGGAAGATACTTGTTTCTAAGAGGTCTGCACAGCAAGAGTTTCGAATCCACGTTTGAGTTCTCGATGTTCTGGCACAGTAGCAGATGAAATCAAGAGTCAGGCTGCAGTGCTCACTATGTCCCTGTGCGGCTTTAAAAAATGCTTGCCCAACGAAGTGTCTTTTGCTGGTGGTAAACAAATCCAGCAGGGATGGTGGTTGGTTTGGACGGTATCTGCTGAGCACGACGACAGATTGAGTCCGAGCATTTATTTGAACCACACTGTTCAGCGTCAGTTCAAAACGTCATATGCGCTGAAGCTTTCTCCAGGACGCCTTGGGAACGGCAGAGTTGTCTACCAGCAACAGATGTGTGGGGCGGTGGCTGGAGGACAATTGCATGAGGAACTAGTTATCTTCCGACTGACTCAAGCGACCGCGGTAGACTACGCTGAAGAGAGAAGGCTCGGGTACACGCAGGGGCAAAACTTGCTGCTAGTCTGTGCACTGATGAGCCAATTCATCTCAGAACTTTTGAATTGGGTATATAATTCACCGCCGCTCTCTCATCATCTGCCAGAGAAATGGGCGAAATTAATTGCACACACTGGACGCCAGGCTTGCCTCCCCACGGGCCACGCTTTGGTCAGTAGGCGACAGTTCTGCAGCGGTTTAGTGGGAACCTGCAATCTGAAGCCGCGGCCAGTTGCGTCGACGTGATTGCAAAGATAAAAGGGTCTACAACCTCCTCCGGGCTGGCCATAGTTCTGATACCTGCGAAACTGTCATCAAGTGGATAACAGTTCGCGCCGATTATAGGATCGCTATGGTCCAGATTTGGTGCCCCCAAAGGGCGCTTCTCGGACAAACGTCGAAACTCGCCAATCAGTATTCGCACAATGGCCTTGATATCTTGAAAGATGCGATATTCTTAGGGTGTTTTGTATAGTGCGAAAATTATCTATGTGGGCAATTGATCAGCCTTGATATCTTGAAAGATGCGATATTCTAAGGGTGGCCACTTCATCCTTTAAATGTTTCGTATAATGCGAAAACTATCTATGTGGGCAGTTGATCGAATAGGTCAAGGTCAGTTAACACCGCCGACTATGAATACGTTGCCTGTAATGAATTTGAAACCCGACTGTACCAGATTGTATGTCCATCATATGACATTATGTGTGCCTCTCCCTCTCTCTCTCTTCCCCTATTGCGGGTACCACGGACGAGTCACCATGGGCCCTGGACAGGAAAGAATATCCCGCTTGTACCCACCCCAACTGACCTTGAACCTACTTTGTACATCCCGGTCTTCCGGTTTCGGTTTCGGGTTAATACACGTGTGT